TCAGTTCTTCTCTCATCGGGTATTCAACCAGGGTGGGGACTTGAAACCTTGACTTATTAGGAGTATTGAAAGAACTAGAGATGTTTAGCATGGAGAAGGGAAGGATGACATCACATGTGTGTGCTTGTGTGCATGCGGATGCACACACACACACACACACACACCCTGAGCAAGACCCCACACACATATACACACACACACACACACACACACCCTGAGCAAGACCACACACACACACACACACACACACCTTTAGCAAGACCACACACACACACACACACACACACCCTGAGCAAGACCACACACACACACACACACACACACACACACACACACACACACACGCATGCACGCGTGCCCCTAACCTGAATTTTTCAGTGGGAACTACTAAAATAGCCTAACCAGCCTTTTTCATCCACCTTTCCTCCTCCAGTCCAGTCTCCATGCTCCAGCCAGAGTGTTATTTTACACCAGGTCATATCATACCCCTGTTAAATCCTTCAAGTCCAGAATCTTTAATGTGGCCAACAGGGAAGGCCTTACCTGATGCGGCCCTGCCTTGAGCCTGTCTCCCTCTAACTCTCTGTGCTCAAGTCAAAGCACCTTCATTTAGTCTCCTGAACCTAGTGTTCCGTTAGGCTGTTCCCTCTGTGCGGGAGGCTCCCTCATCTCCCGCTATACTGATTTACTCAAGATCTTGAGTTCTCAACTACATTATTAGCTACTTGGGGGTGAGGGTGAGGCGGGGAGCCTTCTGGACTAGATTAGGTCTCTTGTCCATGTGTCTTCTCTTCATTCAGCATTTCATTTTTACTTTAGTGTCTCTACAGATTATGAGCCCCGTGAGGGTTGGTACCAAGTCCTTTTGATTTTCTGCCAATTCCTAGCCTTGGGCCTCATATGTCAGGTATTCAATAAATGCTTTTTGTATAATGACTGAATTAAAAAACTGAAAATTCCATTTCTTTGGGAATAAGGTTAACATTTATTGTTTGTGGCCCTAGAAGGCTGAACTTGGATCAATTGTTGCTATTTACACTGAAGCAAATTGCGAGAACTTGCTAATCTTTGGATCTGCCAGAAGTAGAATGGGCAGAGGGTGAGTGCCCATTGTGATTCGAGGTTAGTGGTTGCAAACTGATAGTCTGTGGGCTGGATGTGCCCTACCGACATACTTCACTTGGCTCTAGCAGTGTTTTCAGAAGTGGGACATTTCACACTGAACTTTCTAGCATCTCTTAGGAAAAATATGAAAATCAGGTAACAAAGACCTAAACTGTTGTATGACAACAAGTGACTGGAGCTGAATAGCAGCTGAGGCTACTAAGTAGTTAGGCCTGCACTCTCCAGATAGCTCAGGCCCCACTAGTCCCTGTTGTCTGACTCACTGCCCTCATTTATGTTACCTACCTAGTATTTGAGTTTGCACTCCCCTGTTTAGATAACTCCAAGTACTCAAACTGAGTAACTGCTTGGTGGACTTGAAAGATTAGACTGGCTTTGAGTAAATCAGTGTCTTTCATCCCTGTGATTATCTGAAATTGAAGCACTTGGAGCATGAGGCCATTTACATGCTTTTGAAAAACTATTTTTTTCTTTCTAAAGCCAGTGTTTATTCATTGTATGTCCTCAGCCAGAAATGTGTGATGTTGTGCTCTACCCATGGAGGAGGTAATAAATGTTTGTATGGATGAAAAGCATTTGTTTCCTTTTTCTCACATGGATTTGCCTCCGGCATGTGACAAAGTACCAGTAGGGGGAGCCCTCTAGTAATTTGGAAATCCATGAGAAGACTGTTCATCAGTCCAAATTGTATTTAATTTAGGGATTATGCTAAGAATTTATCATTCCACCCTACCCCAAGAATTCACATTAACATTAGTAAATTAATAAATTGTAGGAAGGAGAGTATGACCATCACCACTGACCCCCACCCAGGGCTTTTCTAGATGAAGACATTCCAAGTTAATATCTAGACTCTTTGACTCTTAATCTCTTTTGAAAGTAGCTATCACTGTGCTCCTAAATATTTCAAAATTATTGGGCACATTTAGCCCCTAAGGTCTTACAGTAATGGGCTATTTCAGGCATAACTACAAAATGATGGATTTGCCAAGCTGCATGACAAGCACTCTTTCCATAGTTCTCATCATTAAAAAAAAATGACAGAGTAGTTGTAGATTGGTTCTAAGGTTCTTTTTGGCTCAAAGTTTACAGGAGAAATGCCTTCTCTATGGGTGAAAATATAAAAAGCTCTTTGAGAACTAGAGATTTTCTCCTCCCAAAATCTGTCACTTTTTGAGAAATCAGTTTACTTTGGTAAAATTTAAGTAATTGAAAATCTTAGCTACCATGTTACGGTATGCTAAACTTAGAAAAAAAGTATATGATGATATATGCGTCCTTTTTTATTTTTGTTTAGAGTTTATAAATTAGGGCTCTGTGATCATTAACAATTGGCATTGCAGCCTTCTGTTCTGAAAAGCTCTTTTTCTTTTGTTTAATTATGTTACCATGTATCAAACGAGAATTTATTACAAAAGGAAAAACTTTGTTTTTTATGGTGTGGGGTTGAATTTCAGGTTAAGTAACATGTGGTGGTGGGGGAGGGGGAGGCAAAGAAGGCTCGTAACTTCCACAAAGGCTTAAACATTAGCAAAGAGTACAATAAAATAATACTTGGGGATCTCCAAGCATTCTAAAAGGTTGATCTAATTAAGCCTTTTACCCCCTGCACAGTAAATATTCTATTAGCCATACAGGTGAGATTCTAAGAATTTCTAATTAAGCTATATTCTTGGTACCACAAAGCCTAAATTATGGTTTATCAAAGAAAATGTGTGCTGCGTCATTCTAGTATGACTTCCAATGGCATTACCATCAAATTTCTCCAAAACAGCATTGTGTAACATCATTGTTACTTGATGTAATTCTTTTCACTATTATACCATGATTTTTAAAATTACTACTAATGATTCCAATTGATAAGTTGTTTAAGGCTTTGCACCTATTTTCTTCTAATTTGTATGGGTTCATTTTTCAGTTGCTTGAATTCAGATCCTGTTTATTCTAAGCAGGTTTCCCAGGGACAGAGGGCATGGCAGAAGTGGACAGAGTGGCTTGTTGTGGTGTCTTAATTATTTATGTGAATAGCCTGAATTCTTGGGGCTTTGCTTGGATTCCAGAACAAGTTGTTACTCTTTATTTCATATTTATAGATAATGGAGGACAATGTTTTCTTATTTTACTAAATTATTTTGGATTTTAATCATCATGTAGATTTTTGGTTGTCTTTTTAAGCATTATGCAATAGTGTTTTCTTTGTACTGTTTCTCCAAAAAACAATGAAATACCAGAGGTTACGTGATGTGAAAAAGTTACTTGCTTGTAAAATAATTTGCATAATTTGTACAATTTGTTTATGTTATCAGTTTTCATACTAAACTAAAAAACAGGGAAACCTAAGCTGGTTTTTAAGTATAAAATAACAAAGTTCCTTTCACACACTTTTGATTACTGACACCACAGAAGTGAAAGAGAAAGAAAAATTCACTTCATTTCTTTTAGAAATAACATTAATTGTGGGGATTTCTAATTACAAAAGCAATGTAAGTAATGCCAAAAATCTAAGACGTATTTAAGAATATTAAGATGGCTACATTTTAATGTAATATTCTCAAGGATTTTCTAGGCCAGCCAATGTATTTTGAGTTAGGTATCTCAACTACGTGATCTAATAATATTGATTATCAGCCTCTTATTTATTTCCCAGCCAGAATATACATAGTTGTGGTAATAAATAACAGTAAATATTTCACTTTTGAAATTGATATGTGGTATCTCCAGAAGAAATTCTAAACTGAGCTGTCATTGCTAAAGATGTCATTTATCTTTGTATATGTGTATGCTCTATGGCCAGCTTGCATAAAAAAGTGCTGCAATATATAGGTGCAATCTAACATATATTGACCCTCCTTCCTCTGCTTGATTTTAGGCCTCTATGACTTTTTTGTGGTGAGGATTGATGAAACTGCCACTAAAAATATATATGTAAACAGGAAACATTAATTTTTTCTGCAAGGATTTGAAACTCTGTTGTAGCAGTAGTAATGCAGTAACTTTAGGAACCAATTAAATTTAAATTGTTTGCTGTATACTTTTGGAAACAACTCCAACAGAAGAAAACAAGTCTAGAAATCATGTTTGCTACTAGTTTTCTAATGTTCTTAACCACTGAACTTACAGTTAAGATAACGTTATATTACCAATGTGTTAAGAGGAACAAAAAATTTCCTCCTATAGCAATTATCACCTGCAGCTGGCCTAAAATTAGCATGTTGAGTTAACTCCAGAAACAGCATGTAAGCTGTGAAATGGAGTTCAGACAGATTTCACAGAAACGCTTGCTATATGGTATAAATAACCAGGTATCAAGAAACCAGTTGATGCATATAAATAAAACGAGACTACTAATAGCTTAGTTAAAATATTCCTTGTAAAACTTGATGTTAAAGAGAATTTAATTTGATGTGAACATAGTAAAGCCTCTCTACTTAGGCAAAGAACATTAAAAATTATTTGTATTCACATGCCCAGACAAAGAAGGCTTGAAGATTGAAGTTATTATGACTTCTAATCTGATTAGAAGGAAAGATAATTTAAGTATAGATGAAGGTGTTAATTTTATAAAAGTATGCAGATTTCAGGTTAATTTTCTCAGACTTTTCATTGTTATAATTTGACAGATCAAAAAAGGTGTTCCATTCTATCGCGAGAGAAATAATTTAGAGTCAGAATTTAAAAGAAGCCATTGAACAATGTGAAAGAATTTAACTTTTTCAGAAGACCTATGTCATTGAACATCCAATAAATATTTCTGGCCCTTCAGTAGCCAGGCATTGAAAACACTGCCCCTTCCTTTGTGTTAAATTACTAAAACTTTTTTAAGAATTAAAACTTTAAAGTTTTAATTCATATGTGTAAAAACTATGTTTTGATGCTTGCTTTACCAGCACATATGCTAAAGTTGGAATGATACAGACAAGGTTAACATAGCCCCTGCATAAGGATGACACATTAATTTGTGAAGCAGCCCATAATTTTGATGTTAACTAACCTTCTTGTGGCTATCATTTCATAATATATACATATATCAAATCATTATGTTGTACACCTTAAACTAACACAAAGTTATGTGTCAGTTATATCTCAATATATAAGATGGTGGGGTAGATATATTTTAAACATAGCCATACAATAAAGACTATCCAAGAAAATAGTTAATGTTTAGCATGCTATTCATGTAGTTTTGTTAATAAGATTATATCTGATGGGGTTTTATTTTGTTACTGACCATTTTTTTGGATAATCTTTGCCATTCAGAAAGAACATTTAAAGTATGACTTCATGCTGCCCCAGGCCATAACTTGATATGCATAGAGCATTGTGAGAACCCTTTTATCTCCTGGATTTAATAAAGTAACATCAAGTATATTTTGTGATTCCAGTTCTTTAATTCTTACCCTTATGATTATTAAAATGTCTTTTAAAAAACACCTTTATTGAGGGATAATTTACATACCATAAACTTCATTCATTTGAACTATACAATTGAATGGTTTTTAGTAAATTTACAGAGTTGGACAATTGTCAATCTAATTTTAGAATAATTATGTTACCCCAAGAAGATCCCAACTGAGGTATTTTTAAGTATTGATGGAACTGTCCAGAAACTTCAGTGTTGTGAGCTGAACTGGATGACCTCAAAATTGTCCCTATTTTTGGCTCTAAACTGTGTAGGGCACAACATGCTTAAAGGAGGCCTAGATACTTAGTTGCGCTGCATCCTAAAAGAATATTGAATGCAGACAGCAAGGGACCCTCATTTCTTTTCAGAAGCTTACTCTGTGATGTGTTTTATGCTGGCTCCATTATATGTTACCTCTTTTAAGATTGAGAATATAGCCTATCATGTAGCTACCTTCTTCTTTTAATATAAAAGGACTCTGCAGAGGAAGATAAGGAACTAACTTAAGGTCACACCCCTAGTAAGTGGAAGGTCTGGGAGTGGGACTTTGGCCTAGCTATATATTGAACAATTAGTTTGTGTTCCTGTAAAAGACAAATCTTAGGAAACATGTAGGCAAATTTGTAGAGTACTATTTAATCTGAGACAACAAGAGGTGACTATGTTAGGAGGATAAACTCTGAAATCAGCTTTTGCTTTGACTTGGTTTCATACAGTTTCGTTTGAGGCCCAGTGGGCATATTCTGCATTGGGTCAAGCAAACCTAGAAAAGAGAAGAAATAGGACCATGTTTTTAAATTTATAAAATATTGAGGCCATTTGGGCTGTCAGCACAATTTCTGATTGAGTTTGCTTTGGGATTGTTTCGCTTTTAAGTCTTGAAATGTTAACATTGGTTGGTTTTTATCAACATGATTTGTCAATTATATTACTTAGAATACTGGTTTGGTTGCTGCAACAGAGATCTAATAGTGGCTTAAACAAAATAGAAATTTATTCCTCTCTGAGATAAGCTGAGGAGGCAATCGAGGTTTGGCATAGTAGCTCCACAGCCATTAGGGGTCCCGCCTCTTTATATCTCATTGCTCTGCCCCTGTTAGCATGTGGCTTTCCTCTTGGGGTCCACATTGACTGTTTTAGATCCATCTATCACATCCATATTCCAGCTATCAAAAGGAGCAATACACGAAGAGGAAGAAAAGTATTTTTTTCTCCTTTAATGGCATGTCCAAGAAGTTGCATGTGTTACTTGGTCACATCTTTTTAGACATAACGTAGTCAAAGGGTCATATACACGGTGAACAAGGATGTAGAAAATAAAGTTTTTATAGTAGGCCACAAGTTGTTTTATGTATTAAGAAAAGAATATATGTTAGAGGACAATTGGCAATCTCTGTCCTATCATTCTGCGAAGATGTGTTTAATAATGACAAATGTGGACTGAGGTGTAAGATGATTTCTGGGCCAGAAATTTGGCCAAAGCGAGATACTTTTGTCACAGTGTTTCCCCGAGGTTTTGAAGACACGTCTTTGTCTGTTTGGAATTTGGCAGTGTGTCAGTCTGTTATGGTATAGTGTCAGTTTGAACTCATTTTTATTGGAAAAGTGTATGCAACAATGCTGGGCTGGACGTCTGGGTTGGGAGTCTGCATAGCAGATTTTACCTTGATGAAGTCTGGATGCATTTTCTTTTTCAAAATATTTCTAGAAGAAAAATTCCCTTCTCATCAGAGTACCATCTTAACTAACACATAGTATGATTCAAGATAAAACCGTAAGATACCTAGTTTTGGCATACAAGCAAACTTTCTGTGACAAAACAGCATTTGGATTTTAGAGAATTAGTGAAATCTAGGAGTCAAAAATTCATGTTCTAACATCAATACTTAACCATAACATGGCCTTGACTAAGCCTGTGGATGTCTTAACTTTTCTTGATCATACCTTAAAATGCAGCTTAAAAGTAGCCTCTCATTATGTGTTATTTAGTCCACAATTACAAAGTCTTTTAAAAATGCAGGTGTCTTTTTTTCATTGTTGGTTACTGAAGATTGTAGATAACCTTAACTTTCTCTCACAACCAGGTAGGCCAGCAAGAGAAATGAAAAGTTAAGATATACTTAATATTTGCCAGTATGTCACTTTATTGGCATTATTCTAAAGGTTTTTGTGATAGGAAAAGATTGGGCTCTTGAGATTAGAAAGCTTAAGTAATCTTGGTAGGCAGATATGATAACAAATATCCTTTTCTGAGAGTTTATTTTGGGAAATGTGGATTTCACCGTAAATCCTCAATTACTGGAGGATCTCTATGGCAGTGTTCCATTCCAGACAACTCACTTTAGCCCAGTTCACTGACACTTTTCCCAGTGTTATCTCCGTTAATTTCATCTGGTTTCTTTGTATGTGGTTTTGACACAGCCAAGTTATATAGAGTATATAAAATAAACTGCCGCCTGTGAAAGTGGTGAGTGATTTTGTGGTTGCTTCTTTTTTTGTGTGGGTGGGTTCCCTTCACTGTCTGTCTGTTGCCTGCATCCTCAGCCCTCATGAAGGTTTTCTTTTTCTCTTGCAGATGACACAGTTGGTGCTGCCTGGCATGGTAGAAAGGTGAGTCACAAGCTCTACACAAACACTAGAGAGACAGAGCTTATGATTATTTATAGGGAGAATCCTGCCCTTGAAAAATTTATTAAAGTGACTAATCAACCTATCCTGCATATCTTAGCAGCAGAATAATATGCAGGGCAAGTCACACGGTAGAGCATGAGTCATCTGGTGGTGGAGTCCTTTTCCACCTGATTCCCTTATTATTTCCCTCTCCAGCTTTGTGGTGGTTCCTTTAGATCAGGATTAAAAACTCTGCCTGAGTCACCATCACTAACTCAATTGCCTGCTGTGCTGAGGGGGTGGATAGAGTTTCTGGGACATTCCCGGGAATACCTTCTTAAAGCTGTGTGCTCTCAGATCTCAGAGCCAAAGTCAGTGGACTTTCACAAAGCATGACCCCATCTTCTGGGTTTTTAGTTCTCACTGGGTGAATGGATACATGAGGAGTCTGAGGCATGTTATAAAGTAATTATAAGATGTCAAACCCACTCTTTGAGCAACTATGTCCACTAGCTACATCTGTGTTCCCATTTGAAATGGGTTCCACTAGGATATGCTAGACATCTTTGTTAGTGTTGGAAGTTGTGTTATGTAGAGTTCTTACGTTTGAAATAGCATGAAGTCTAAATTGTAACTAAGCCCATTCCTCCCTTGCAAAAGCCTAAATGATGGCTAGACCTTTAGAGAAAACCTGTTGAAAAGAGCTGGGTTTGCATCTTAAGCTAGCTTGATCATTTGCTAAATTTAGGGTTTCATAGGCATCCTTCCTCTGCAGAATAGCTTTGACTTTGGAAGAGATCTGAAGGCATCACTGCTTTGAAAAGGGCAGACCCACCTTCACAGACTACTTCTGTGAAAAAACCTCTATGACCAGCTTCAGGCAGGGATTACAGCTAGTTTTATTGAATGAATCTTATGTGTCAGGGGTTATAGTGAGCATTTTGTACATTTTCATTTGTTTAACTTTGATAGCCTCCCACCATTACAGATGAGGAAACTGAGGTTAGGAAACCCATTTTGTTTTTTTTTTCTTTGTTTAGAGTATCACTGATATACAATCTTTTTTTTTTGTTTTTTTATTTTTTGTTAAGATATGATTGATATACACTCTTATGAAGGTTTCACATGAAAAAACAATGTGGTTACTACATTTACCCATATTATCAAGTCCCCACCCATACCCCAATGCAGTCACTGTCCATCGCTGCAGCAAGATGCCACAGATCCACTATGTGCCTTCTCTGTGATATACTGTTCTCCTCGTGATCCCCCACACCATGTGTACTAAACATAATTCCCCTCAATCCCCTTCTCCCTCCCTCCCCACCCGCCCTCCCACACCCCTCTCCTTTGGTAACCACTAGTTCATTCTTGAAGTCTCTGAGTCTGCTGCTATTTTGTTCCTTCAGTTTTGCTTCATTGTTATACTCCACAAATGAGGGAAATCATTTGGCATTTGTCTTTCTTCACCTGGCTAATTTCACTGAGAATAATGTCCTCCAGCTCCATCCATGTTGTTGCAAATGGTAGGTTTTGTTTCTTTCTTACGGCTGAATAGTATTCCATTGAATGTATGTACTACCTCTTGATTATTCATTCGTCTATTGATGGACACTTAGGTTGCTTTCATATCTTGGCTATTATAAAAAGTGCTGTGATAAACATAGGGGTGCATATGTCTTTTTGAATCTGAGAAGTTGTATTCTTTGGGTAAATTCCAAGGAGTGGGATTCCCGGGTCAAATGGTATTTCTATTTTTAGTTTTTTGAGGAACCTCCCTATTGCTTTCCACAATGGTTAAACTAGCTTACATTCCCACCAGCAGTGTAGGAGAGTTCCCCTTTCTCCACATCCTTGCCAGCATTTGTTGTTCTTAGTCTTTTTGATGCTGGCCATCCCTACTGGTGTGAGGTGATATGTCATTGTGGTTTTAATTTGCATTTCCCTGATGATTAGTGATATGGACCATCTTTTCATGTTCTGTTGGTCATCTAAATTTCTTCCTTGGAGAACTGTCTCTTCATATCCTCTGCCCATTTTTTAATCAGGTTATTTGCTTTTTGGGTGCTGAGGTATGTAAGTTCTTTATATATTTTGGATGTTAACCCCTTGTTGGATATGTCATTTACAAATATATTCTCCCATACTGTTGGATGACTTTTTGTTCTGTTGATGGTGTCCTTTGCTGTACAGAAACTTTTTAGTTTGATGAGTTCATTTTTGCTTTTGTTTCCCTTGCTCTAGGAAATGCATTCAGGAAGAAGTTGCTCATGCTTATATTCAGGAGATGTTTGCCTATGTTGTCTTCTAAGAGTTTTATGGTTTCATGACTTAGATTCAAGTCTTTGATCCACTTCGAGTTTACTTTTGTGTATGGGTTAAACAATAATCCAGTTTAATTCTCTTGCATGTAGCTGTCCAGTTTTGCCAACACCAGCTGTTGAAGAGGCTGTCATTTCCCCATTGTATATCCATGGCTCCTTTATCATATATTAATTGACCATATGGTTGGGTTTATATCTGGGCTCTCTAGTCTGTCCTATTTGGTCTGTGGGTCTGTTCTTGTGCCAGTACCAAATTGTCTTAATTACTGTGGCTTTGTAGTAGAGCTTGAAGTTGGGGAGCATAAAGCCCCCAGCTTTATTCTTCCTTCTCAGAATTGCTTTGGCTATTTGAGGTCTTTTGTGGTTCTATATGCATTTTAGAATGATTTTCTCTAGTTTACTGAAGAATGCTGTTGGTATTTTGATAGGAATTGCTTTAGGCAGGATGGCCATTTTGACAATATTAATTCTTCCTATCCATGAACATGGGATGTGTTTCCATTTGTTGGTATCTTCTTTAATTTCTCTCATGAGTGTCTTGTAGTTTTCAGGGTATAGATCTTTCGCTTCCTTGGTTAGGCTTATTCCTAGGTATTTTATTCTTTCTGATGCAATTGTGAATGGAATTGTTTTCCCGATTTCTCTCTCTGCTAGTTCATTGTTAGTGTATAGGAATGCCACAGATTTCTGTGTATTAATTTTGTATCCTGCAACTTTGCTGAATTCAGGTATTAGATCTAATAGTTTTGGAGTGGAGTCTTTAGGGTTTTTTATGTACAATGTCATGTCATCTGTGAACAGGGACAGTTTAACTTCTGCCTTGCCAATCTAGATGCCTTTTATTTCTTCATGTTGTCTGATTGCCATGGCTAGGACCTACAGTACTATGTTGAATAGAAGTGGGGAAAGTGGGCATCCTTGTCTTGTTCCCAATCTTAAAGGAGAAGCTTTCAACTTCTCACTGTTAAGTATGATGTTGGCTGTGGGTTTGTCATATATGGCCTTTATTATGTTGAGGTACTTGCCCTCTATACCCATTTTGTTGACAGTTTTTATCATGAATGGATGTTGAATTTTGTCAAATGCTTTTTCAGCATCTATGGAGATGATCGTGTGGTTTTTTGTCCTCCTCTTTGTTGATGTGGTGGATGATGTTGATGGATTTTCGAATGTTGTACCATCCTTGCATCCCTGAAATAAATCCTACTTGATCATGATGGATGATCTTTTTGATGTATTTTTGAATTTGGTTTGCTAATATTTTGAGTATATTTGCATCTATGTTCATCAGGGATATTGATCTGTAATTTTCATTTTTTGTGCTGTCTTTTCCTGGTTTTGATATTAGAGTGATGCTGACCTCACAGAATGAGTTTGGAAGTATTACCTCTTCTTCTACTCTTTGGAAAACGTTAAGGAAGATGGGTATTAGGTCTTCACTAAATGTTTGATTAAATTCAGCGGTGAAGCTATCTGGTCCAGGAGTTTTGTTCTTAGGTACTTTTTTGATTACCAGTTCAATTTCGTTGCTGGTAATTGGGGTGTTTAGATTTTATATCTCTTTCTGGGTCAACCTTGGAAGGTTGTATTTTTCTAGACAGTTGTCCATTTCTTCTAGCTTATCCAGTTTTTAGCATATAATTTTTCATAGTATTCTCTAATAATTCTTTGTATTTCTGTGGTGTCTGTTGTGGTTTTTCCTTTTTTGTTTCTGATTCTGTTTATGTGTGTAGACTCTTTTTTTCTTTAAATCTGGCTAGGGGTTTATCTATTTTGTTTATTTTCTCGAAGAACCAGCTCTTGCTTTCATTGATTCTTTCTATTGTTTTATTCATCTCGATTTTATTTATTTCTGGTGTAATCTTTATTATGTCCCTCCTTCTACTGACTTTGGGCCTCATTTGTTCTTCTTTTTCTAGTTTCATTAATTGTGAGTTTAGACTGCTTATATGGGATTGTTCTTCTTTCCTGAGGTAGGCCTGTATTGCAATATACTTTCCTCTTAGCAAAGCCTTCGCTGCATCCCACAGATTTTGCAGTGTTGAATTATTTTTGTCATTTGTCTCCATATATTGCTTGATCTTTGTTTTTATTGGGTCATTGATCCATTGGTTATTTAGGAGCATGTTGTGAAACCTCCATGTGTTTGTGGGATTTTTCATTTTCTTTGTGTAATTTATTTCTAGTTTCATACCTTTGTGGTCTGAGAAACTGGTTGGTACAATTTCAATCTTTTTAAATTTACTGAGGCTCTTTTTGTGACCTACTATATGATCTATTCTTGAAAATGTTCCATGTGCACTTAAGAAGAATGTTATTCTGCTGCTTTTGGGTGTAAAGTTCTGTAGATGTTGTAGATGCTTGTTAGGTCCATCTGTTCTAATGTGTTGTTCAGTGCCTCTGTCTCCTTACTTACTTTCTGTCTGGTTGGTCTGTCCTTCAGAGTGAGTGGAGTATTGAAGTCTCCTAGAATGAATGCATTTCATTCTATTTCCCCTTTTAATTCGGTTAGTATTTGTTTCATATATGTAGGTGTCCCTGTGTTGGGAGCATACATATTTATAATGTTTATATCTTCTTGTTGGATTGACCCCTTTATCATTATGTAATGTCCTTCTTTGTCTCTTGTGACTTTCTTTGTTTTGAACTCTATTTTGTCTGATACAAGTACTGCAA